GGGCCGGGGCGGCCCCGGTTTTGTACGTCCCCGGATCCGCGCGGGAAGGCGCTGCGGGCTCGGGGCCGGCGCCGCGACTCCTTCCAGCCCGCGGGATGGAGTTTGCAGACGGGGCTTGGCTCGGCCCCCACGGGTGTCAAAGTAGGAGCCGCTCGCCGGCGCTCGCGTTGCACGCGGGGACCACGCCGACCGCGCGTCCGGGGGGCGGAGGCCGGCTCGAGTCCCCGGACGCCCGCGGGAACCAGCTCGGAGCACCTCGCTGGGAGCGGCCGCCGCTATTGTTGCCGGGGCAGCCGACAGTCCCGGAGGCAGAGGCGGCGGCGGCCTGCGTTCCGGGGTCCCAAGCCGCGAGGACAGGATTCCGCAGGCTCGGCGGGGCAGCGGAGCAAATGCACTTTCCAAAGCAACTAGTCTCGAGCAGAAGCCGGAGCAACTTCTCCGCGGCGCTCGGGATCCTGCGCGCTCCGGGGCTCCGAGCGTGTGTGAGCGCGAGCGAGACGCGCTCGGAGAGAGTGACCGAGTGTGAGTGAGTGTGTGCGCCGCAGCGATCCCGACCAGCGCACTCCTCCTCCTTTGCCTCCACCTCCTCCGCCTCCCGGTGACTCACGCTGTATACACACACACTCACAGGCCGGGCTGTGTAAACAGTTGGGAAGCCGAGTTGTGCAATGAGGTGGCTGCGACGACTCCGGCCCCGCCGCCCGGCGAGCAGTCACCGGAGCGGAGGGAGGAGATGGTCGTATAACTTCGTATAATGTATGCTATACGAAGTTATTACGGAAAGACTTTAGAGGTTCTGATGGCTGTGGGTGGAATAATCCAGGTGGTGCCTCATTCCATTCATCAGGAGGCTACTAGTTTATTTTCCTACTGAACATTATTACTTCCTATTTGTTTAGAACAGAAAAGGAAAGTTGCCAGCTGATAGCTACATATTTGAACCAACTGTAAAATTTTTGTTGAAGTCTACTTCTCTCTTGTGAGATGCCTGATTTTTACTGTCTATAAATGTCAGACAGGCTGATAATGACAGATGGTGATGATAACCCTTATGTGTACATAGGGGATCAAACTGGTGTCAGGAGACCTGGGGTCCACTTCTTAGTGTTGAATGGTGCTCTCTTTGCATGACTATCAAAGATCCACTATTTCTGTGTAATCACTGCTCAGTGCCTGCCTTCCCTCTGTAGACTACAATACAGACACCATAATTCCAGCCTACCTTTGTGCAAATGGAAATAATGGAGAAGCCCAGGGAACTGTATGTTAAAAACAAACTTAAGTCATTCACAGTTGAGATTTTTTTTGAGTCTCTTAGCACTAACCAAAATATAAATCCCACACAATATCCAAACACAATGTAATAAAAGTTATTTGCCATAAAGCAATAAGCATTTCATCCTCTTTAATTCTTTAGATTTAATTTAGCCCAATCATCACTTTTCTATTAAGATTTTCTTGTCTGGAGAATAATTACGGGGGATAGGGAAGGTGATGAATTCCAGATCATTCACCCCCACGCGGTAGTTCCGGGGAAGACCTGTGCGTGGTAGTGGATGTGGTTTTTTTTTTTCCTTTTCCTGCCCCCTCCCAGCTCTAATCCCCAGCGTCTGTTCGCTTCCACAAATAGAAGCTTCTGTTGGATGAAATAAAAGCAAACACGGGGCCTTCTGCGCTGCCTCCACCTCCACACCCCTCCCGCGCCTGCCACCCGCCCGGATTGCACGGAAATAGCTTCTCCAGGCTCCCGGGCCGCCCCTTCGCGGTGACTCGCAGAAAGAGCTTCCTGAGCCAGGGCCGGTGGGAAACAAAGGATGTGGGGAGCGGGCGGAAGGTGCCCACGTGGCCGCCGCCGGATTCCTGCCCCCGGCCCTGCCTCCACACGCGCCGCAGAGTCTAGGGCCCGGGGCCCGGGGGGTGGGTAGGCGGCTGGAAGTCACTCTGGCCACCTCCAAGGATACTGCCTGCACCCGAGCTAGCCCGGGGGGTGGGTAGGCGGCTGGAAGTCACTCTGGCCACCTCCAAGGATACTGCCTGCACCCGAGCACCGCTGCCAGGTGGTGTGCGTGCATTCGTGCATCGTGATTCGGATGAGCAGGAAATGTGTGCCCAGACCCTGGACAAAGCTCCATAAAAACTACTTGGAATCTGTCGGTTTTCTTTCTTGACAGAACCAGGTCAGTTTGAAGTCCCTGGACACCCAACACAGATAACTGAGTCCTTCCTCGCACTTTTGCTAAATACTCAATTTTCTAAAACCAGGTCGAGCCCCAAGAACCAATCCTTTTCCTTATTAATTCTCCATTCATTGAACAAACACTAATTAAGCATCTACTACGGGCTAGACGCTGGGGATTAGATGTTGAAAATTAAAATAATAGCTAACACGAACTGAGGTCTACAATGTTTGAGCGCTTTCTTAGCACTTAACATGTATGACTTCACTTCAGTTTTACAACCATCCTGTGGCGTTATTTTTTGCCCCGTTTCACAGAGGAAGAAACTGAAGCCTAGACAGATTGTTACTTGCTGTGGTTAAATAAAGTGGTGGAGCAGTCCCGCTCTTAAGCACTCATGAAGACTCCAAGGAGAGATTACAATCTGCAGAGCAGAGGAGGAGTTAGGGAGGACTCCATGTAGAAGACATTTGACCTGGAGGCTGTGTGGGTTTGTGAGAGCCATTCAGCCAGGCAAGGGATGTACAGAAGGGCAGGCTTGGCTCAAGAACGGTTGCAGTACAGGGCGGCTGCAAGGGTGGTGGGAGCTGAGCCTGCGGAGGTCATTTGAGACAAGGTTGTGAAGGGCTCAAATGCCATGCTGAGGAGGTTGCACTTGGTCCTGTGGTCAGAAGAGAGCCCACACAAGGCTTTACGTCTTTCAAGATTATTTTGTAAAATCCACTGAGCTGCCAGCTGGGCATCTGCACTTGGATGGCCCATGGACACCTTCTTCCAAGGAGTGCACGGTGTGCCCGTCCTTCTCTGCCTCTTCTGAAAGATAGGTATCACCACCACCCACCAAGCTCTCACCCACCCGGGGCCAGAATCCCTTGAATCCACCTTTTTCCTTTCTCCCCCAGCTGTCCCCTGCCCTCCCCTGCTCAGTTCCCTGTGGCTGGCCCTTGCAAGCTCTGTTTCCAGCTCTTTTTGCCCACTGGCTTCCAGCCCAGTTTGCCCTGTGGGACTCCCTGGAGGGAGACTGGAAGGTGGGATGAAGAGGAGAGTTCCCAGGCACCGTCTTCCCTTCTCCCTTTGCTTTGGGCAGCTGGCAGCATCTCTTTTATGGCTCCAGCCTTTGCTAAGTCACCCCTCTGCTGTGATGTGCTGCCCAGGATTTACTCCCCTGGCTGCTGGGAGCACATACCAGGAGCCATTTTGAAAATTGCCTTGACTGAGAAGAACCACCTTACCTAGGGTCACACTCCCTGCCTGGGGGGTCCACATCCAATGACTGCTGATCATGGGAGAATAAAGGTCGAGTCCCCTTTACCCAACCTGGGCTGCCTCTGAAAGACATCCCAGCTTCAGAGCTCCAAGGTGGAGTCAACTAAAGCCTTTCTTGAATTGCATCACAGCCCAGCTTTTTCCTCTGCCCAATCCTGCTCCTTCCTTCCCTTCCCCTACCGGGGCGTCCCCTTAATAAACCTCCTGCATGCTAGTCTCCATCCCAGAGTCTCTTTGGGGGAACCCAAGCCGTGGTGCCCCCTCTTCATGGTCCCAGCTTACTCCAATGACTCTGGCTCCTGGAATCAGGTGACACTACCTTCCCTCCAGCCCTAGGATGGCGGCAGCTTCTGATGTTGCTAATCTCTGGGTGGCCCCAGTGCCACGTTTTGTTCTAGTTTGTTTCTGTTCTTCCAACACCTTTGTAACTAGTTCCCTACATTAAATTCTTTCTACTGAACTTCCTGGCCTGGCTTCCACTGTGCTGCCCAGACCTTGACTAATGTAAACCCTGTACCTTTCCCATGTCCAGCTCCCTCTGCACTCCCATCATGTTCCCTGGATTCCTGCAGTAAGCTTCTAACTGAGTCACTCATTTATCCCTTCAGCCAACAGTGAGCACCTGCTCTGTGCCAGTACACCTACTAAGTGCTGGAGATACAGTGGTGCACAAAACATGTCCTTTACCCCCTCAATGCATTCTGCACACAGCTATCAGATTAATTATCCTAAGCTTTAAATTTAATCATATCAGGCCCCAGTCTAAAACCCTTCAGGGACCGTCAGATGAAATCCAGCACCACAGTGTGGGGAAGTAGGCCCACTTTCA